CGGTCGGCGAAGCCGCCCACATAAGCAAGTTCTAGTTTATAAGAACAATTTACTATATACATTTTTACGTTCTATATTAACATTATTTACGACTGCGTTCACTATAATGATTATAACTACATCAGTGTTCCCCTACTTTACTTACTTCGCCCTTTGATTGGAAAGGACTTTTTATTCGTTTCGGTCAATTCTGACTTTTCAGGCCGGGTAACCCTTTTTGGTTAGCCGTGTCACGTGACGCGTGACTTAGCCTGATAAAAATCGTAAGGATTAAATTCAATTTGTTAACTTTAGTGGATATTTTATTAATACAACATATAATATATTCTTCGACCTTATTATTAGTATAAAAGTTTAAATAAATAAATTGTTATAATTACTATCAATATAATTACTATAATTACTATCAATATAATTACTATAATTACTATCAATATAATTACTATAATTACTATCAATATAATTGATACAGACTCCTTTACTTGTTTTAAGATTTTGTTTGCTCTTAAACTCTGAAACGATTCCTCTCGTATCAATAAGTTTAGATGTATATACATTTTCATGCTTTTTTTCATGCTGCTGCATGATAATTGGTAATTCTTTGATTGATTTATCAGCTTCTGAAAATTGCCGCTTGATCTCCTCTTCATCATTATCTTTTTCACTATACGTATGATTATTGTGATAATCATAACTATAATAATCATTATCATCGATAATTTTTTTCCAATTTTCAAGTTTATTACGAACTTCAACAACTGCAGGTCTTCCTTCCACATCTGAATCAATACATTGATTGACTAATTCAACATAACAATTTGGTGTCTCTATATTAAATTCAGGGCGCAATCCATATAAAATTCTTACAGCCAATTCTTTATCAAAATTGTAACCATCGAAAGGCCTTTGGCCAGTTGATATTTCTATCATAATAATCCCAAAACTAAAAATATCAGCAGCTTGAGTGAACTGATCACCTTTCAAGACCTCAGGAGCTATATATGGTAAAACTCCATAAATATGTCCATCTTGTTTTTCGTCAAACGGTATTGATAAACCTAAATCAGTAATATAAGCTTTATATCGTTCTTTTAACAAAATATTACCTGAATGTAAATCTCGATGTATAAACTTTTTAGAATGAATATGCGATAGATCATTAACGATATCGCATAATATTTTTAGTTTAATTTTCCACTCTGATTTAAATATGTCGTTAAGATTCTCACGTAATGATCCAAATTTTGCATAACTTATCACTAAAATAAAATCTCCCGTATTCTTATCCATTGATATGCCATTATATTTCCCAAATTCATGATATGCCTTTAACTAATTTATAAACAAATTACACTTAATTAATTTATACATAATTAATTAATAAACACTAATATAAATTTGCACATGAAATAAAATACCTCGTTTAAAAAAAGGTGCTTATTTTTGTGAGAATCTTTTATTATCTTAATTGCAACTTCTTCATACGTTTCATATCTTCTTTTATATGACGTTTTATATACTACGGAAAATCCACCTCTACCTACTTCTTCAATGTTTCTGAAATTATCATATTCTATCCATCTGAAATAATTATCATAATGACATTCATGTTGAGTAACCGCAGATTTTAAATACCATTCAAATGCCAAATATTTATCCTTTTCTACTCCAATTCCTTCTTGATAACACAAACCGACTTGATACATTCCACAACAATATCCATATTCGGCACTTTTTAAATAATATTCAAAGGCATTTTGTTCATTTTTTTCAACACCAAGACCATTTCGATAACAATATCCAACATTATGTGTCCCAACAGGGTTACCCATCTCTGCAGATTTTTGATAATAAATGAATGCATTATGTTCATCCTTTTCAACTCCATTTCCATTTTGATAACAATGTCCAACTTGATTTAACCCAATAGCATTTCCCATCTCTGCAGATTTTTGGTAATAAATGAATGCCTTATGTTCATCCTTTTTTTCAACTCCAATTCCATCTCCAATTCCATGTTGATAACGACCTCCAACACCAATTATTCCATTAGAATCCCCCATCTCTGCACATTTTTGATAGTGAGTAAATGCTTTATGTTCATCCTTTTCAACCCATTTGCCATACTCATAACAAATCGCAAGAATTAATTGAACCATAGGGTCGGATTGATTATCTAAGCAATGTTCGATAATATTATCTGGATTTTTCTTTTTGCTTACTAGTAATTGTTCTACAGCGTCAAAAATTGAACGAAAACCTCTGCCTTTCACTAGTTCTTCATTACATAAATTATACATTTCTTTAATAATTTCATTAAGAAAATCCTGTGACTTATCTTTTAAATATAATTTATTAACTTCATTGTATATTCCAGCAATATTAACTTGATTATAGATTTTTTCTTGTTGTTTTTCAGATGACATTTTGATGCTATGAAAGAATATGGCGCATATAGACTTATTAAATTTAAATCATTGTATATTTCATTGCGTAACGTTAATTTATGCGATAATGTATCACATATGCATTGCAACACCTTTTAATAAATTAGTTGGAATTTATTACCGTTACTGCAGTACTGATAAAGGTTACTAAATCAATACGTTTAAAACTCAGTTAAAATACATAAACTTTTTCAATAATAATCTAATTCTTTCCCTTTAACCTACAAGGTCTTTCATACTTATGCACTTAATTCGACATTAATTTCTCCAAATATCCTGAAACTACACCAAGACTATTTCGATAATCACTTTTTTGCTCCAATAAAATAATCAGCGTGTTAGAATAACAGTGCATTATTTATAATAAGTAATTTATACAGAAAATTTTACGATTAGATTTTACGCTTTAAATTATTACTAGCGTATTTCTTATTACTTGCGCAATGTTGTTGAATCTCTCAGTTTAATAAACTAAATGGTAGTGGTAAGCAATGTCAGGCGCTGACTTCAGTAGCTATGCAAGAACCATCGTTAACTATTCTTTGGCTACGCTTCTTTTATTAAAATAAGCAATATCCTTATCATTTTGGCCAACTCTTTTATGGCTACTGACAACCTTTCCTTGTATGCTTAGACATTATAGGTTGCTTCTGATAGATATAGTTTTGAATGAGTTGTGGCGAGTTAGTTCAGTAGCATCGATTTATGGATGTATCATTAGTTATTGGAGGAGAGAATATATATCTGTAAGAATAATGGACAGATTCTCATGTATTTTTCAGTGCTTTTTTTTTAATAAAATCATCTGGTTGAACAATCACAAAAGCAAAGAAAAGGAAAGTAGTGCAGATTTCTCAATTCAGGATCCAATCTTGTAAAAAGTGCATCATAATCATCATAATTAGTGTTAAAATATCTAGTGTTTCAAGAATATAATATTTCTGAGAACACAATATTTAAAGATTACATTCTTATTTGAGAACGTGAAATTGGTGAATAAATAATTAAAATTTATTTGCACAGAGGATAGAAAATTGTATTACATTATCCAATAATTGCTTGGTCATGTAATACGGAACAGCATGTTTAACCGAATTTTTACGTAGGTATACAGTACTACATAGTGTAATAGTAGTATATTAAGTACCTATATGTAGTCACTGAAAATTACTTTCGAAAAAAGATAAAAATAAGTATTTGATTTTAATTTTTTTCTTTTTAGGTCAGAAAAAATATCAAAAGTTAAACCACTCATAATCACTCAAGAAAATGAGTCGGGTGTGCAACAAATTTTCAGTGGAAATTTGTGAAACACTTAATGATAAAAAATGAAGATAAAAAAACTTTATTAGAAGTGCAAACAATGGTATTGTCCAAAAATTTTATTAGAAGAGTGTAGTACGAAAATGATCGTTTGGATAAGCGATGTAATTATGTGTGAGGGTGTTTCGACGAGAGATTTATGGATACTTGAAATTTTAATTAATTACCAATTCATATAAATTTTACTAGTGTGAGACCCGAAAACGTGACCGTTATCACGTGAAGCAGATCCAGAATGTCAGAAATATCAGATATGTTCGATATATATGATATATCTCCTATATCGCATAAGTAGCTGCGCAACGTTGTCGCGCGAAACCAGGAACGGGAGAAATCTACGCAGACTCCATTTCAGTCACAGGAAACCATATTCTTCATTACAATCTATTTCTGGTATAAGAAAATGACTCTTTATAAAAGAAATTGATAGTACTTGCAATCTGAATATTGGTTTGAATTTCAATAACTGAGTTGTTAAAGGTTTTATGGTCGAGTTCAGAGATGGGGCAAATGTAACAGATTATCGCTTGAAAAATGATTATGCCGCATAACGTTCCTCAAAGATATAGAGGTGGTTTTTCGATTTGGCACAAGGTCAAGACAATCAATGAGGAGCATTACAAGATGAGTATTATGATTTTTTTTTAAAGAGCATATTGTATTGGTTCAAAAGAGCTTTTATTAGTTGTAATATCTTGTAGGGACAATACAATTATAGAGTTATATTATTATATGATTCTAAACTATGGGCTTGAACTCTACTTTTGAGCAAGGACCTGTAAAATTTTAACTTTAAAAATTCAAAATTTTTTCTAACAACAACAAAAATTTTAAATAAATTTTAGTATAAATTTAACAAATTTTAGATTTATTTTGATTTAAATTTAATAAATTTTAATTTAAAATTAAAAAAATTATGATATTTCATTCTTTTGTTTTGTTAAAAAATACAACATTGTAAGCATTTTCAATAATTCAGTACTTAAATTTTACTGGTTGTCTTGAAAAATATTATTATAAGCAGAAAAGTTATACTTAACTGTACAGACTCATACAGTGACCCCTAAAACTTTCCGCATTCTGCTGTACTTCGATTTTTGTTATCATGTTATGAATTATCATTTGTTATTGATTATTCTATGATTTTACATATTATCGTTATGAAAATGCAGTTAATATTCAAAATATTCAAATTATAATAAAAAAGTTTTTCTTTTTTTCTTATTAACAATGAAACGTTGTAGTAGTTGCAAAAATTTTTTACCTGAAACCGTATTTAAAAAAATTAAAGCAACGTTATCAAAAACTTGTAATCAATGTTTGGATTATCGAAACCATAAAAATTGTGAAATTCGAAAATTAAAAAAAATTTCTCAAGATAATAATTATATATTTAATAATGATGATGTTGAATTGGCTGAGATTCATATTAATCAATTATTACAATTTGTTGAAGAATTTGTTGCCAATAAGGAAAATAAGGAGTTTGAGCTAAATATATTATTTAATATTAATGAAAAGATGAATTCAATTACTCAAGTTGCTAAAAAATTACATAAAATAATTGGAGATAGTGATGGTTATAAATGGAAGTAAGAATTAAGTTTGTTAATTATATAATTATTATAAAATTAATTAAAAAAATATATATTAATTTAAAATTTGAAAATGTTTAGCTTTTGGAAAGCTAATTATTCAACTTGTCTTCCTGACCAAAAAGGAACAATATATTATTATTGCAGTCAATCTGCAATTTTAAATAAATTTAAAAATTCTAATAGAAAACGAATTACAAAATTTAAATGTAATGGGCAGCTTATTATTCGCATTAATATGATAAATTCCAAAGCTTATATTAAAGTCAAGCATTTATTATATCATGAGCGTCCTGCTATTTCTACTGGTGTTCCAAAGGAAATAATTGCTGAAATAAATCAAAATTATCATCTTGATTCTTTACAACTTCATTCTTATCTATCTACATATTTTGATTTACAAGATATTACACCTAAACAAATTTATTATTGGTGAGTGTTTCAATTCAATCAAACTATCAAAAACATAAAGATCCTATTTGTTCAGCTATTATTTTACTTCAAGAACAATTTCAAGATTATGAATTATTAATGTCAATTAATAATGATACTTTAACAATAATTGCTTTTTCAACACTAAATATTCAAAATTTAAAAAATATTAAAAAAATTCATATCGATACAACATATAAAACAACTAAAGGTCATTTTGAGCTTTATAGAATTATTGGAGAATATCAAGGAACTGGATTTGCTTTGGACTATTTAATTTTAGATATAATTCGAATTAATGGAGAGTTGGAATTATCTAAATCAGAAATTTTAACTCAATTTTTATTAAAATTTCAAATTCTTGGTCTTTCACCTGATTTTATATTTACTGACAAAGATTTTACTCTAATTAATGCAATAAAAAATGTATGGCCAAATAAAGGCATTCAATTATGTCTCTGGCATTTGAAAAAAGCTATACTTACAAAAATGAAATCAAATAAACAACAAGTATGATATAGTTTATTTAGAATTGCTGATTTTCAACAATTTCCATTTATTAATCCAAATTTTGTTCCTCAAGTAAATCAAACTGAAATTATTTGTTCTGTATAGCATCAAAAAAAGATTTTAGATTTAATTGAAATTCATTTTAATTTACATCTGCTAATTCCAATAAATCAAAATGGCACTTTATTAACAAAAGATGAAATATGAAAAAAGGCTGTTTATGAAATATATCAATTATGTTTTTAATTCAATAATCCAAGACTTTGGAATTATCTTTATTTTTCATAGTATACTAAAAATCATTGGAATTTATGAGCTAGAAGTAATCATTTATTAATTTCTTTTAGCAAAACTAATATGTTAATTGAATCTCACTAGAAGGTATTAAATATGAATACTTATATAGATTTAATCATCCAAGACTTGATTATGTAATCTTTATTCTTTACGAAAAATTAATTCCAACACAAAATATTCGTCTTCATCAATTAACTATAGGAAGAATAAATCCTTACTGATGGGAAGATCTAAAAAAAGATTGGATAAAATGTATTAATGCTAAGCAAAGTAATTCTAATAAGAGATATTATACCAATACAAACCAATGGATTTGTAGTTGTTTAGCATTTCTTCAAAGCTGATTTTTGATTTGTAAGCACCTTATACAGGC